AAATAAAATAAAACTTTGATTTTGGTTTTGCTAATTAAACAGACTTGTTGTAGAAATAGCTAGTATATATTATTGCATAAAAGTAAAAAATCGAGGTTGTAATTTTATTAACTTCTACTGTGCTAAACAGAATTGGAAGTCAATGGCATTTTTTCTTCCCTTCTACCTTACATTTTTTTTCTTTTTTCCCTTTTCCCTTTCTTTAGTTCCCACTGTTTTTATTTTCCTTTGTATTTCCATCATAAGCACAGTGGTTTCCAAATAAAAACAAAATTAGATAAATTGAAGTAATCAATTTAACCATCTCTCCTTTTTTTGTCACTGTGGAAATAAAATAATATATATTTCTATATATATATTCCACTTATTAATTTTTATAAACTATCATCATTTATATTAGTCATGGTGGCACACTGATTAGAATGTAGTATTGCAGGCTAATTCAGCTCACTGTCAGGAGTTCGATCCTGACTGGCTCAAGGTTAACTCCACTTTTCCATCCTTCTGAGGTTGGTAAAATGAGGATCTAGATTGTTGGAGCAATATGCTGCCTCTGTAAAATACCCAGAGAGTATTATAAAGCACTATGGAGCAGTATATAAGTCAAAGTGCTATTGCTTATTCTTATAAAGTAATAACATTAAATAATATTTTGAAAGTGGCACTTTAGGAGACCTGGAACCGTTTTACCAGAAAAATCTATTCTCAATTAATTTAAATTAATGCACAGAGGTGTGGAAAGAGTAACAGAAAACTGGCAACTGAAGAATTTAACTAAAGAGTAGCTACTATTTTTCTGGCTCAACTTAGAAGAGATAAGCAGAACGTTTGTGTAACATAAGGCAGGGCCAATTTCAACAATCCTGGTACTAGATAATACCAATACTAGATAATTATATAGCAATACAGATTTTAAAGGGATTAAAAGACAAAGTCATCCTCCCTCTGAGTTTAACTCCTGTTGATACAACCATGTAATTTCATAATTTAATTTAAAATGTGCATGATTTTTTAAATGTTTTGTTGGATATTATTTCAACACTAGCTCTTTTTAAAGAACAGCAATTCCTGGCTTACTCAATTTTAAATGGAACATTCAAATGAGGAAGTTTATTGAGATTCCAAAATACATAATGGTGCTTTGGCTCTGGTGTGGGGACCTCTCTCTACCTACTGGCTACGCTGACTGGTGCCTGTCGACCCAGGGAATACACATCTGAATAGAGTCACTGCCCCCTTACTTCCTCCTTCATTCAGATGCATGCTTTCCTGAGCTCATGGGACAGTGGTCTAAGCTTAGGAATAGGCGTAGTTTCTTTAAGAAGCACCTTACAAATACAGAGAAAGTGATGATACTGAACTATATTTTTCAAAGATCCTGGAGCACAGGGGAACTACCAGAGGACTGGAAAAGAGCTGATGTAGTTCCCATCTACAAAAAAGGAAAAAAAAAATGGACCCAGGAAATTATAGACCTATCAGCCTGACCTCAATACCTGGGAAGATCCTGGAAAAGATAATCAAACAACAAATCAACGAACACTTAGAGTCAAACAAAGTCATTACTAAAAGCCAACATGGGTTTGTCAAAAATAGATCATGCCAGACAAATCTTATTGCATTCTTTGACCAAGTGACAAAATTAGTGGATGGGAGGAATGCTGTGGACATAATTTACTTGGACTTCAGTAAGGCATTTGATAAAGTAGATCACAACCTACTACTTGACAAGATAGAAAAATGTGGGGTAGAAAGCACCACCACCAGATGGATCCGTAGCTGGCTGACCGGCCGTACTCAGCGTGTAGTCCTCAATGGAACCACATCTACATGGAGGGAAGTGTGTAGTGGGGTGCCCCAGGGCTCTGTTCTGGGCCCAGTGCTCTTCAATATCTATATCAACGATTTGGACGAGGGGATAGATGGGGAACTCATCAAATTTGTGGATGACACCAAGCTGGCAGGAATAGCCAACACTCCAGAAGACAGGCTTAAGATACAGAAGGATCTGGACAGACTTGAACACTGGGCACTATCTAACAAAATGAAATTCAATGGTGAAAAAAGTAAGGTTCTACATTTAGGCAAGAAAAACCAAATGCACAGGTATAGTATAAGGGGTACCTTGCTCAATAGTAGTAACTGTGAGAGGGATCTCGGAGTCCTAGTGGACAATCACCTAAATATGAGCCAGCAGTGTGCTGCAGCTGCCAAAAAGGCAAACACAGTGCTAGGCTGCATTAACAGAGGGATAGAATCAAGATCACGTGAAGTGTTAATACCATTTTACAATGCCTTGGTAAGGCCACACTTGGAATACTGCATCCAGTTTTGGTCACCATGATGTAAAAAAGATGTTGAGACTCTAGAAAGAGTATAGAGGAGAGGAACAAAGATGATTAGGGGACTGGAGGCTAAAACATATAAGGAACGGTTGCTGGAATTGGGTATGTCTAGTTTAACGAAGAGAAGGAAGAGGGGGGACATGATAGCAGTGTTCCAATATCTCAGGGGCTGCCACAAAGAAGAGGGTGTCAAGCTATTTTCCAAGGCGCCTGAAGGCAGGACAAGAAGCAATGGGTGGAAACTAATCAAGGAGAGAAGCAACCTAGAACTAAGGAGAAACTTCCTGACAGTTAGAACAATTAACCAGTGGAACAACCTGCCTCCAGAAGAGGTGAATGCGCCAACACTGGAAGTTTTTAAGAAGAGACTGGACAGCCATTTGTCCAAAATGGTATAGGGTTTCCTGCCTGAGCAGGGGGTTGGACTAGATGACCTCAAAGGTCCCTTCCAACTTTACTACTACTACTACTACTACTACTACTACTACTACTACTACTACTACTACTACTATTATTATTATTATTATTATTATTATTATTATTATTATTATTATTATTATTATTATTATTATTATTATTATTATTATTATTATTATTATTATTATTATTATACCAGGTCTGAGACTCCTTTGCCTACTTTGGATAAAAATTCTGCACATTTCTAACCATATTTTTCAAAAGTATTAATGATAATAATAATAATAATTTATTAATTTTATATGCTCTGGGGAGTTTACCCCCCCAAAAAATTGAAATATACAATAATAGACAAAAGACAAATAGGGGATGACAAGGATGACAAAAAAACACAACCTGACAGGAATAAAAAAGAATTGAACCCATGCAATCCAAAGAGGGCTTCACTCAGTCACCAAAGGCCTAGGCAAAAGGCTAAGTCTTCATAGCTCTTTGAAACATTAGCATGGAAGGAACCGTCTGGATCTCAGAGGAACCTCATTATAGAGGGCATGTTTTGCTAACAGAGAAAACTTGTTTCTGTAGTCCTGATAGATGGCATTATTTAACTGAAGGAACTGGAAATGCATAAACCCTGCCAAATCAAATTGGCCAGGCAGATACTATGGGAAACAGGCAATCCCTCAGTAAGTTATGCCATGTAAGGCTTCTTAGGTAATAATTGGCACCTTGAACTGACCCAGGAAACAAATTGACAACCGATACAGGTCATGAAGCAAAGGTGTTACATGGGCATACTGAAGTGTACCCATCACTGCCAGTGCCACCGCATTCTGGACCAACTGAAGCTCCTTTCAGTGGCAAGCCTATGTAGAATGTGCTGCAATAATCAAGTCGTGAGGTGACCAGGGTATGCGTGATCTTCTAAAGAACCCTCAGTCTAGGAAAGGCCCAACTAGTGCACCAGACGAAACTGTTCAAAAGCCTTCCTGGGCACAGTTGCTACTACTTGCTAATTGAGCTCTGAGTTGGAGAAAACCCCAGATTGTGCACTACTCTTAAATGGGGGAACTAAAATTCTATTCACATTCAGAAATGGAATGTCCCCAGATCTGGGTAGCCCAAACACACAACCACTTGGTCTTCATTGGATTGAAATGGACGTGGTTCCTCCCCATCCAAACCAGCAAAAGTTTTAGGATCTGAGTTTTCTCACTGTTGAAAGATATAATTGGGTAGCATCAGCCCTACTGATGCTGTATATTTTTTCTTTTACGTGCAATATTTTTCATACTTTTCCTTGCCTTTTCTCTTTCTCTTATCTAGTTTATATTATTTCATATTTATCTTTTATTTCTTTGTAAATCTTTAATTAAAATTATATACATAAAAAGCAAAGCCATCTCAGTATAATCAATTTCTGTCAGTTTGGAGGGATATTAAGAATTTCATCTGTGTATCAGCATATTTGACATACATAGACAAAATATTCTAGTACTTTTGCATGTTTCTTAATTTTAGTAAACATTTCCTGTATTAAGACCTAGTCTTATAGATTGCTTTCTATTGATTCCAGCTACAGAGTTAATTATGGATATGCTATTAATTGCATGCCGTGCATTGTTTATTTGTAAACACTAAGCAGGTAAAAACCTTCAACCAGCCATAGTAAAGTAACACCTCAATAATGCCAAAGGGCTGTAGTATGAACGCATCCTTGTGGGAATCCTTTTTGGGAAAGAAAGTTAGGTTGATTCTCAAGACTTCAAGAACATGCAGGATAGCTCAGGAAATATACAAAGCATGGGTATGTGTAACTGCGTTGGTCTGATCAAATTCAAATCTTGAAAACATTCTTTTTTATGAGTGTATTCATTATGAAACCAATTTCATCATGAGATTTTTCAGTAGATAATTTCATGACATAAATATTTTTTTTCATTAATCAATATGTTTGTTCAATCAAAAGACTGAATGGTTGATTTTAGTTTTTCAAAGCAAATATGCTCAATTCATTTCTCCTTCCTCAATTCTTCTCCTTCAACTTTGCTTTGGATGTAGCATTAGTCTTTTGAAAGACTTGTTGAGTGAACCGTATACCAAAAACTGATAATACGGGAAAGCCAATACAGTTTGAATTTATGTTAAAAAAACAAGCTAATATTCCATTTCATAAGTCTGAAGTGTTTCTCTTTTACCTCTTTCCAATGGAGAAAGAAAACAGGGAAATGGCCTCACCTTGTTCCTTCCTTCCACAAACTCTGTCCAGGTGTCAATGCTTTCAATGGGGTTCACAGCATCCATCTGTGACACATCCTTCCAGTCCTTACACTCAGGCATCCGGTCCCTCTGATGGCGTTGTACAGCCCTTGGTCTGCTTCAGTTTACAGTTTATGTAGTACCCACCAAAGAGAAAGAGATGGAAAAAATAAGGAGCCCTAACAAGGAAACAGTGCTTTACAGGGAAAGCAGATAAATTTGGCAAGACAGAACATGATAAAATTTTGTATGCATATACCTAAAAGGGGTATTATATTTCTCCCCCCCCCCCTATTTAATGAAGCCAGAATGTTGGGAACATCCACTAACTTTGATCAGTAGCAAGAAAGGAAGAATACAAGTAGACCTTCATACAACGTATCATTTGTTATAACATTTCTCCATATTTATTATGATGGCTGTTAAGTCAGGCAGCTTTAATAGGAGAATAACAAGTCTATGGCAACTGTTAAGGATTTACAGAATCTTGATATTTTGGGGCAGCAAAAGAAGAAAACATACAAAGGAAGAAGATAATTAAGAGTACTGTACGTGGGCAAAGTCCTTGGATAATTTGAACATACCAAGAACATAATGGTTATATATGTTCATTAGACATGATCAGCAGAAAATAACTTCTTTGTACTTCAGTACATACCTAGAATGAGAACCTGTTTTTTAAAAACAGGAAATCATTACGAACTGGGATAAGCAGAAAAGTTGTGGCCTTGGAAGACAGTGCTTATAAATCACTAGCTCCTCTTCCTTTTGACACAGCTACAAAGAATTCTGGTGGGACTGGAAATGCCCTGATTTCC